AATTTTAAAATTTTCAATTTTTTTTTTTTTTTTTTTTTTTTTGGTACTGGGGATGGGATCAAATTCAGGTCCTTGTGCTTGTGAAGCAGGCAGCAGAACCACTGAGCTAAATCCCCTGCCCCAAGTCTTACAGTTTTGTTCAAGTTAGAGATGCCATCCTTTTTTTTTTTTTTTCACCTGGCTGAAGTTATTGGAAAATATAGCTTTAGATTTGCACCAAGTAAGCTTGATCATATCACCTGTGAATTAGACATAATTATTCAAAGACAGTATTAGAAACTGACAAGTTTCCATTTTTGATGTCCATGGGTATGGTTTGTCATACAGCAGTGTCAATAAGATATCCCTTGGTCTGACAGATAGCAAAGAGAAAAAAAAAAGGGCTGAGGTAAGCGTGCCTTTTTACTTTCTCCAAACTCATCAGTCACACTGGTTTTTGCAAGAAGAATTAGTAGCAGTTATGAGGAAAAAATTGGAATGTTACTCTTTGGCAGTCTTTGGCAGTCCCTCCTTATGAATATAAACTGTAAGAAGTGAATGTTACCTCCTACAATATCCACTTGCTTTTGGTTCTTTTAAGCCATTGAGCTTATTTTTTATAATCTTATTATTTTTATTAAATATAAATCTTATTAAATTTTCAAATGCATCTGGGAATAGGATAATAAATTTCATCATCCAGCTTCAGTGGTTATTACCACTCTATTCTTTTTGTTTAACCTCTATATTGTCAACTTTTGTTGTTAATGTTTTCTTTGTTGGAGCATTTAAAAACAGATTTTGACATTTTACATGAAAAGTGTGAGTATGTATCTCTGATAAGGGAATAATCCTATAATCTAAAATAAAAGTTATTGGAACCAGGGATTTAGCTCAGTGTCACTGCACCTGCCTTGCAAGTGCAAAGTTGTAAGTTTGATACCCGGTACCCCAAATAAATAAGTTATTAGAGTAGTCCATACATATATTGCAATTCATTTTTTCCCATCCTCCTTGGTACTGATAGAATTATTTGACCTCTTTAAAGCTACCTCCTTTATATTCATTTCTTCCACTGTTTGACAGATTTATATGTTGTTACTTAATTTTTTATTATATATTTTTGTTGATTATAGTAAATAGAATGCATCTTAAAGTCATGTTTTCTTTAAATGAGCAAAGCACTATGTGTTCCTGAATTGATTAATTATAGTCCTCCAGCAGATCTGCTTTACTTCTTAATAATTTGTGTTTGTTATATTGCTTCTATGCACTTGTGGGTTTTTTTTTTCCTTTAAAACCACTAAGAAACAGGAGCCACTATTGATGATGATAGGATTATTATTGGTTAGTGGAAATTTGTCTGCTTGGATGGGGAGGAGGCATAAAATTAAGGCAAAAGTTGTCTCTGTATCTGAGAGGCTTGGAGTACAACTACCTGAGGAAGAAGGGATGAACCAGTAGAAAATGGGTCTCAGGGTATGATAGTCAAAGACTTAAATATGAAATAAAATGGAGTAGTAGTCAAGTAGTGGTGTCTTAAGACAAATCTTAAGGGTAGACTAGCCTCCAGTGAGTTCGTCTTGAAAGGTTTGATTATTCATTAAATAAACCTATATTATTTTATGAGTTCTCATCAATATTAACATTTTTTACATATACATAGACGTTGCTCATGACACATGGATGTGAAGCCCATTAAGATACATTATAATAGGTTTTATTGTAACATTTATTTTAGGTACTTTTATAGACAGCTTGTACTCTTCTATAGCAAAAATCCTATCATGATGGAAAGATCAATATTTTGTATAGAACCAGCTTCTGATCTCCTTGCTCTGAAAGCAGATATCAAGATTTACCTCTATATGAACCAGTTGCCTAAAGGATCAGCCCAGATAAAGTCACAGTTGTAAGTATTATGGAAGCTGTTTTTAAAGACAACATGTTGATCATTTCATATATTCTGAATCCACATAGAAAGTAGAACAAAAAGTGTATATGTATCCAAATTCTCCCTTCAGTTGTTTTTATTCTTAGCCTGTAGGGCACCACAAAACCTTTCCCCTTGCACTCCACTCAACATGATCCATGACTACTTCTTAAAAATTCCATGTACTATATACCATTTTCTTTTCTATGCTATTATCAATCTTTTTTATACTTTTAAGATTTAGGAAAGTATGCACTATTAATATTTATGATCAAACCCTCATTGTTTAGAATAGGTAGTATCATAGGTAGTATAAAAATTTAAACAGTATAGATGAAGAAAGTAAAATTCACCTCAAGTGTGACCTTTTAGAGAACCAGTGGTACTATTTTGATTAAAATTTTTCTAATAATACTTTCAAAGATAAAGACATTCCCTAAGGAGAAATTTCAAGAAAAATAATTTTAGTTTTTATTATTTTAACATTTTGTTGAGGGTGAATGTTAAATAAAAACTGCTAGTTTTCTTTTTTCCATTTTATCATTTTGTAGTTTTAAACATTTTCACACAGAGGAGGGAAAAAATTTACAAGTTATAATAAAGACAAAAGTGAGTTTTTCGTTTTTCAGGGAAATAAACAATGGTAAAATAGTGAAATAATCTATGCTGGAGTTCTAAATATGACTACTTTCTGTTTTGTATTAATATCTGGGTTAGTCAATCCATCCTACTTTGTACTTCCATCTGTTTCTGTTAACTGGAATTAAATGTATAGTGTATTATGAAATTAAACATGGTAGAGGACAATAGTGGGTACATGTGTTGTCAATTATATTTTTAAAAAGAATTTTTTTTTCTTTCCCTAGGTGTCTTAATCCAAATTCTCTATCTGCATATGAAGCCAATGAAGAACTGAGTCTGCATGTGGCTTTTGAAGGCAAAATCTATCTTACTGCTGACTGTCCTGCAGACATTGTTAATAGAGTGAACAGTATGTCTTCAAGTGACAAATTGACAAAATGGGAAGTTCTTGGTGTACAGGGAGCATTGCTGAGTCACTTTATACAGCCAGTTTATATCAGCAATATATTTGTTGGTAAGTGGAATTTCAGTACTTCCTGGCCACTTTGAGTAAAGTCTCATCAGTTTAAAATTGGTTTTTGCACACATGAAAATTTGAGGATAAAGCACAAATCCAGTTTTTGGTTGAGCTCTTTGTTTCATGGTAACTTATAATCACACAGTACAATACAACTTCTGCCATATTACCAATGGGTGAAGAATTAATATTTCTATTTAATTAATTAGGTGTATTCTATCTTTAACTTTTGTTTGTATGGTTATCTGTTTCCCTGCCCCTTTCTTTGGGGTGAAGATGCTTCCTTCTATTTCTTAAATCTAAAAGTGTTTACTGTATTATATTTATTCCTCTTTGAAGTAAGGAAAGTGTTAAATGTCTAATTTTGGTTCTTTTTTTATTCTTATATTTTTCCTTTTAATTGGCCCAATAAGAAGTAACTAGAATGCAAAATAAATACATAAATTGTTAATTTACGTCTTTTTGAAAGGGGTATTTTAAAAAGCTGGATTTATATTTGGATGGTTATCTAGATCTTATCTCAGTAATAGTTTTGGGCTTATTTCTATAATTTCACATGGCCTTGTTGAAATAATTTACTACTATCACTTTTTTTTTGCTTATTATTAATTTTGAAATGAAATCCTTGACAAGCTTTAGATCCCCATTTGGGCAATATTTTTATTTTTAGTGCTATTCTGGATTTTTTTTGCTTTGTTCTGTATATTTTTTACCAGTCTCTTATTGTTTTTTTTTCTGTTCCATATACATACAAGGTATTATAAAAAGGAAAATAGTTATATTTATTATTTTTCTAACATTAGGCTAATTTTATTTATATGGGAAATATATTACTTGAATCAATTCAGAAGACTCAAAAGGGCATTATCAGTGAAGAATTTCCTTTCCATCCTAGTGCACAAGGCACACATTTGACTTCTGTGGAAATATACATTATTAGTTTTTTGTTTTTCTTTATATTAATAGTTACATTTTGCTTATAGAATTGTAAGAATTCATGTACATGTTTTTCTGTATTTTTTATTAATTTCGTTGGTACATTTTATTTTAGGTATAAAATATAATGACATTCATCACTGGGAATTTGCACCTTTACATAATCTATCTTGGTTTTTATTTTTCCCCCCATTCTTCAACCCCTCCATCCCTCCCTATTTACAAAGATTTTGTTTTCATTATTTTCATTTTCTCAGATTAATTCCATTTCCTTCTTTCCTTTCCCCTACCCCTCGCACTTTCCCTTCCCCTTTGCCCCTTTTCTTACTATTTCATATTATCTATTATACCTTTTAGTCCTTATTTACACTTTCAGTTTCTCACATCAAAGAAACTATTTGGTATTAACACAAATGCGTCCTATTTCATTTAAGAGTATTACTTCAATGTGAATCCATTTATCTATGAATGGCTGTAATTTCTCATTCTTTATGGCTGAGTCCATTTTATTAAAAAACACACACACACACACATTTTCTTTATCCAGTCTCCACTTGATGGGTAATTGGGCTGTTTCCAAGTTTTAGCTATCACAGATTGTGCTGCTATGAACATGGGTGCACATGTATTGCTGTGTATGATTCTTTTAATTCTTTTGGGAAATAACCAGCAGAGGAGTAGCTGGGTCAAATGGGACTTCTAATCCTAGTTGTTTGAGGTATCTCCATATTGATTTCCATAGTGGTTGCACCAATCTACACTCCCACGAGCAGTTGAGTTATGTTCTTCTTTCTCCACAGCCCCACCAGCATTTGTTATTGGTTGATTTCATAATAGCAACCATTCTTTCTTTCTGGGGTGAGGTGGAATCTCAGTGTTGTTTTCATTTGCATTTCTCAAATGACCAATGATGTTGAACATTTTTCATATGTTTATTTGCTATTTCTATTTCTTTGAGAAATGTCATTTTAGATGCCCGTTTTTGGATTGGGCCTTTAAATTTGGGAGATCTGATTTTTTTTAAGTTCTTTATCTGTTCTAGATAGTATCAGGTTGTTTAATTGAGCTTGCATTGTTTTCCTAATGTGAGTATTTGCTGCTATGAATTTCCCTCATGAGACTGCTTTCATTGTGTCCCATAGATTTTGATATGTTGTATTGGTATTGTCATTTAATTATAGAAACTGATTTCTTCTTTAATTTCCTGGGACCCATTGGTTTTTCAGAAATGTATTGTTCAATTTCCATGTGTTTATGAAATTCTTGCAGTTTCTTTTGCTATTGATCTCCAATTCATCGCAGTGTGGTCTGATAATATGCACGGGATAATTTCAGTTCCATTGTACTTACTTAAACATGTCCTATGAGCGAATATATGGTCTATTTTGGAAAACGACCCATATGTAGCTGAAAAAAATGTATATTCTGATTTTGTGGGGTGGAACACTCTGTAAATACCTATTAAGTCCATTTGTTCAAGTGTTTGATTGAATTCTAGAATTTCGTTTTTTTTGTGTGTGTGTCTAGTTGATCTATATATTTGAGTATTTAGGTCCCCCACTACTATTGTATTAGTGCTTACTTAATTTTTCATGTCCTTCTGTATTTGTTTTTATATAGTTGGGCACACTAGTATTTGGTGCATATGTATTTATGATTGTCATCTCTTCCTCTTGGATTGTTCCCTTTACAAGGACTTAGTGTCCTTTGTTTCTCTAATCAGTGTTAGTTTGAAATTCACTTGATCTGCAAAGAGGATCACTACTCCTGCCTTTTTAGGGGTTCCTGTCATATGGAGTATTGTTTTCCACCCTTTAACTTTCAGACTATGAGTTTCTTTTTGAATTGTGTGTTTCTTCTTGGATCTTGTTGGATATTGTTGGATCCTACTTCTTGACCCATTCTGCCAGTGTATTTCTTTTCATTGGTGAATTGAGACCATCAACATTGATGGTTATAACTGATATGTATTAACTTATGCTGTCATTACTTTTTATTTTTGTTGGATTCTCCCCCTTTGCATTTAATTTCTTGTCATGCCTGGTGGATCCATTCTGGGCTTCCTGAGGTTGTGATCCTCATTATCTTTTCCTTGAATATTGTTTAAAAACTTTTGGAGTGCTGGTTTGGTATTCATGAAGTTCTTAAGGTGCTCTTTGTCATGAAAGTATCTTATTTCTCCATCAATTTTGAAAGATGGTTTTGCAGGGTATATCAATCTGGGTTGGAGGTTGTTTTTTCTTAGGTGTTGAAATATGTCACTCCAAGCTCTTTGCCTTGAGGGTCTTTGCTGAAAAGTATACTGTAATTCTGATTAGCTTTCCTTTGTATGTGGTTTGTTTCTTTTCTCTAACTGCTTATAGAATTTTGTTCTTCTCTTGGGTTTCTGGAATCTTCATTATTATATACCTATGTATAGGTTTTTTTTTTTTTTTGATCCCAGCTAGTCGGAGTCCTGTATGCTTCACTTACCTGTATGTCAAGTTCTTTTCCCCTACTTGGGAAGTTTTCTGCCATTACTTCTGTGAACAATATTTTTATGTCATCTGCTTGCGCTCCTGTTTCTGCATTGACACTGATCAATCTTTTGCTGTTCTTCTTAGCATCATCTAGCAGCTGCCAGATTGATTTCTCATGGTCCCTTACTATTTTTAAGAATTTTTTTTCTGGTCACTAATTTCAATTCTATCTTCTATATCTTAAATTCTGTCCTCATACTCACTCATTCTGCTGCATAAACTTTCAATGGAGTTTTTAATTGGGAAATCTTTTTATATCTGTTTTATGGATTCCATTTGTTTCTGGTGTTGGGATTCCATCATGTTCCTCAGTTCTTCTATTTTTTTTAAATCTGTGTCTACTCTAGATTTATTAATCATGTCTGGCACTATTGGCCCAATCTTTGTTGTTATCTGAGAAATCATTTCTAATTTTATTTTTTCCAGATCTTCTTTTGTTTCCAGTTAAGGGAGTCCAGGTGGTTGAGTATCAAATTGTTTCATCTCATTTCCCTTTGGGTTGCCTTAGATAATCTGGAAGTCTAGTTTTGAGACTTATTTATGTGTCTTCTCATTTCAACAGATGTAGCCTGCTGTGCCTTTGTTGAGACAGCTTTTTGCTCACCCAGTAGTCTTCATTTCTCAGCAAACCACAGAGTGGCATTTTCTCTGCTCTCACCAGTGTACCAATTCATGGGTTCAGAATGGTTGCCTTCTGGATCCCCTAGCTGACTTCTTGTCTGGGCGGGCTTCTGGCTGGGTCCTGTGCATACTTGTGGTGGTATCTAGATGTGCCTCTGGCTAAGGCCTATCCCCCCCATCTAGCTGTTGCCTGGGGGCTATGTACCCCAGACCCTAGTGTCTGAGCAGACTTCTGGCTAGGGTCTCCTTGCACTTACTGATGATATCAGGGCAAGCCTCTGGCTGACGCTTTTGTGCCCGTGCAACATTTTTCTGGATAGCCCTTTGGTTTGGGCTTATGTGCCAAAGCCACTGTTGTTCACGTGGGGCCCTGGCTGTGATCTGCCCTCAGATGCTCCACTCTGGTCCATACCACTGCTTGTAGAGAGCTGTGTGTACTTACTGATGGTATGGGGCCAGTCTCTGGCTGCTGCTTATGCACCTGTGTAGCTCTTTCCTGGACAGCCCTTCTGTATTATTTTTTATTTTCAGTTATTGTGTCTTTCTAAATATTTTATAACACATCCTCAAAAGTGACTGTCTCCTTCTCTGCTTTTTCCAATGCTATTATTAATGAAGGAATGCTGTTTGACTCATTTTTAAAAAGGCTTCATTTGGTTACCAAGGTTCTTGTTTACCATGTTTTCTTCTAGCCAATTCAGATCGTCTTAAGATACTTTAAACTTTTCTCACTCTTTAAAGGCTTTTTGTTCTTAATAAACATCTATATCTAATAGATGTCTGTGCTTTCTCTAAAATCATAGCTTTGATAAGCCAGACTTTCTTAGCCTTTGTGAAAAGACATTTTACAGTTTGTCATTTGTATGATATAACTCCATCTATAGTTTCTTTTAATTTTTTATGAGTATATGTTTGCAAAAC